GAAGAAAATATGGCTTCCTGTGAATTATGAAAATCTTCCATCTTTTATCGTTTCTCCTGTCACTTGAGCTCTTCTGTCCTCTCTCTCCTTCTGTCCTCTCATCTGTGAGGAGGACAAAGCAAAGAATCACAGGTTGTGAAAACAAAGACAAAACTCACCCCTTCTGTTGTCTGCTCCCCTCCTCACCCCTCCTCCTCCTCCTCCTCCTCACCCTCTATCTGTTTCTTGCTGTCTTAAGCCGAAGAGGCTCCTCTAACAAGGTGAAAAATGATGATTTGAGGGAGCTCCCTGTAACATATGGAAAGAAGTTTCCGGAGAGAAATGTCCGTCATTAAGACTTTAACCTACTGCTGGCTCAGAGGCCCCTCACTGCTGACCTAGCTCTCTGTGAGCGTCTGTGTGTGTGTGTGTGTGTGTGTGTGTGTGTGTGTGTGTGTGTGTGTGGGAGAGACCTAGTTGTCGGATGATGCCCTGCTGTACTCCGACATCCTCATATATCACTCAGTCTGATGCAACTCTCACACACACACAGACACACACACTTTATCTCAAAGTCTCTCTCACACACACAAGCACAAGTTCAGACAGTAGCATTCTTCCTCTTTCTCACATACACACACATTAAACACACACACACACACACACAGAGGCAGGTAGACGCCGTGCAGAAAGTCAGGAATCATGTGGTTTAATTAATTACCGTCTAAAAGTGAACAAGGTCAGAGCGCCGCTCAGCTGGAGAAGCGTCCAGAGGTTACGGCCTTTCCATCCAGCTCTTCTGAAGCTGTCAGCTGTCTGGGAAGGTGAAGTAAGAGCACCTTAAAGTGTCGCCTCGTGTGTACATATGGGGCCAACTGTTGAAGCGCTGTCACTCTGTAAAAAGCCTGGTCCACACAGTGTATTGTTCTCTTGACCTATTAGCAACACAACAATAGTTAACTTCTCCGTTAACTGAACAGAACGGCGCTTGGTTAACAGAAAAATGTAGATGAAGATGAAAAGGTGTGTGTCACACTGTTAATGATTAAGCTGCTTTGTAAATGTAATATGAAAAAAAACTTTACACTGATTCATGCAGCTTACTGAATAAAGTAATTACTTGAGCTTACGGTTTGCTTTGCATGTAAAACAAATGTTTAGCAACCTTGGTATCAAATACAATAGATGCTTGATTAAATGCACCGGAGAGCGTACGTCAAACTTGGCATTCATACATATATTTTAATGTTGATTTTGTAATTGTAAAAATCAAATGAATAATGATATGTTACTTCAAACTTACCCTGATCTCTTACATTCGTTATGTTTCATACTTGTCAAATTGGAGCAATGGAAAAACAACACAGAAAATATCACGCTGTTACATAAACTTGCTTTTAGTTTGTTAAAGTAATTTTCACTGAGTCTGAGTCACTGAGCATCAGTCAGAGTCTGATCTCAGCTACTGTTTACTGTTTTGTTTTTTCATATGTGTGACTGTGTGAACCTGTTAGAGGAGTCATTGTCATCGTCATCCCTTTTTCGAGTTGCAGTAAGTGACACAAATGCAGACCAGATGGTTTAACTGTCAGAGCGATTACAGATATGTGTACGATGCAGAGCCCTGTTGCAAAGGTGACTAATTCTGTACACTTTTCCAACATGTCATTCTAAGCTTTCAGAATTTAGTTTGAAGTTCATCAAAAATCCACCTGTCGTTCGTTAGCCCAGCAGGCACTCAAAATTTGGCTAACTGACAGTGTGATGTTTAGCAGATGTCGGGTTTTACTCACAACTAGAATGTCTGTATTTTGTACGTCAAGATGGCGTTGGCATGAGACATTTGGAAGAAATTGTATTTTGGTTACCTGACCTACATTTAACCAAATATCAACGTCTGGCCATCTGCCTTCAGGGAGGAAACACTTCTTGTATTGGAAACTTCATTAAATCACTTGTATCACGTGTATCTGGAATACATATAAACTTTTACTAAATCTCCTAAAATGAAATGTTATTTTGGAATGATTGATGAAATGATGGAATGATGAAAATGATTTTTTTAACGGCAGTCAGGGTTCAAGTATTTGAGAACCAGGGGAGAAAAGCTTCACAATGTGGTTGAACAATGGTTTGAAAAACTACTGGCTTTTCTAGTGCAGGCAGGCGAGCAGGCAGGCAAACAGCCATATGGACTTGTGCGCTTTGATTAATTAAAGTGTCACAAAGTGATTAAGGTCAGGAAGTTCCTCAGCCAGAGGCCCAAAGAGCAGAGCACAGTAGCTCTATTTGTGGTGCCATCTTTAATTCTTTTACACGTTTCTGAATTATGCCAGAAAAGCAAAAAATAGCTGCAGATTAGTGGCAAACAATACTTCCATATCGCACTCAGACTATTATGTTCAACAGGATGCCATGTTCTTGGGTTATAATGGAATAGACACAGAAGGAGGAAAAGTGGGAGCAAGTAAGTTAACAAAAGAAAGAATCACAGAGGAGTCAAGTTAAAAAAAAGAAAACGAAGAAGGCGCACAGGGATAATGAGAGATATGGAAGAGAGAGGATGGTACGCCACAAAAATCAAGCCAGACTCAGAATCACAGTTTTGTAAGGGCACGGCTGCCACTGTACCCATGGAGCCCGCTGGAATATTTCTGATGTGTCTCTGCAGGAGGCTCCTCGAATGCCTTGGGAGTTTAAATAAAGCCGACCTCAGAGGATCCCGTGAATCTGTCTGGAGGTTTTTACAGAAAGGGTACCAGGCAGTGAAATCTAATTATTATCTTCAATTTAACAAGGTCACAGCACTATTCCTGGGTATGAAAGAGTTTGAAAAGTCAAACACTGTGTGACAAGGTGCTCAATTTAGTTATGTTTTGTATTGTACTTTACTGTCGTTTAAAGAAATGTTACAACTCTGCCTCTCTACATGAACTTCTCCATTTTACTTTTTATTTGACCTGTGTCACCAGAACAGAAGCACAAAAGGTATACTAAACTATTTTAGCTCTTAAAATTCCCAGGAATATGCATTTGAAATTCATCCCAAGTAGATGGAGCAGCCCACCTGAAGGCTGTGTATGTACACCTGGTACATGAAGGAGCAGGGAGTTTGACATTGGTTGTGAAAGTAAATGTTAGGAAAGGCATGATGGAAGCTGCGGCGGGAGCCAAAAATCATTAGAATTTAAGGAGCGCCTGTGGATTTGTCTACAGACTGTTAAGGACGGTCAACATACTTTTTCATATCCAACACACTAATGGGTGTAAGCATTAACGTCAGTAAATTTGAAGGCCCCATGCTGATCAGCAGACTCAGTGAGGTGGCTGAGGCATTTATATAGTACAGCTACATGATCTAAGAAAGCAGCTACTTCTCTTCTTTTACAAGTATCAAAACCAGACTTTCCTTTAAAGATAAACTAGAGACTTATCACCCAACTCTAAAGCTTTGGAGCCTCTTTCAGTTTATTGTTGTGATTTCATGGCACATTTACTGCATGGAGTCGTCAGTAAGGAGTTCTTTCGCCCCCTTGTGGCCAAAAGTCAGTTAGTGGCTTTTTAACCAATTTGCATTTACAAAACATGGATTGCGTGTTTTGGGAATGAAGTGTTGACTTGCTGGGAATGAACAGCATTAATGTTAGTTGATTCAGGAAATGAATTGATTGGCAGCACACTCTTTTAGTAACATACTTTGAAGTCACAAGTCATTGGCGTTGTTGCACGTTCAGACCGAAAGTGGCGATAGCGTCAAAGTGATCGGAAGCCATTCATCTTCTATGTGAGCCATCATCTCCTGGTGGCATCAGTGGCATGGCAAAGTCCTGGCAGCTTTTTGGTGATAGCTAAGACGCGGTTTGAACGCGTTTTAAGACGTGTCCCTGTTTGCTTACAGGGACTTTAAAAAAAATGAAAGCAAAGTGTAGCTTATCATATATTTTGTAAAAGCAGGAGGGAAATACATGCTAACTAGCACCATAGCATGCAAAACAGCATTCCCAATTAGCTTGCTAGCTGTCTATGTCAAAGCGCCCATGAACTTAGACAACATCCTTGGAAGATTGTATTTTTTCGCTCTTGCTGCTTTCAGTCTGAAAGGCACAGTTTGGTCTCAGGTCTGAAGTCATCAAATCCAAGTCACATGACTCAAGTCCACACCTTTGAGATGTAGTATAAACCTTCACACAGGAGACCGCTGTTTGTATCTCAAATGAAACTGATAATCATCATTTCTTTTATCCATGACCATTCTACAACCTCAACCATGTGTTTTTTAATGTTACCCTAACGATGTAGGTCTACCACCGGCACTTGGCTCCTTTGGGTTGTATCCTAGGGCAGGGACCAACAACATATATGGCCGTTAAGGTTGGGGGACGTGTGTTTAACAGGGAGCCAAACTTGCAGCCTTTCTACTACAAAGGCAGAATTCATGACAAGCTGTGACTACCTGTGTGTTTTGATAAGGTGTGACAGCCATGTCCTTTCAGTCTGTGGCATCACTACCAACAGTTGTACTGGCTGACACTAGTGCCAGCCTCTGTTTTGCTGCTTTTGGATTGAACATGTGACCTTATGCAGACCTCTTTAGGGAAGAGAATGCTGCTTCATGCTGGCAATGTTTTAAGCCCTGTGAGAATGACTTTGTTGCTGCAAGATGAAAGTCTTTTATCCTCAAAGCTATCTGTGAATGCATGCTCACAAATGATTTGTGTTGCTTAAACAACGGCAAATACACTGCACCTTTTTGTTTTTAAAGTGATGTGTGGAGAGATGTGTGGCAATCACGAAATGGAAAATATATTCACTGTGTTTGGAAGCTGCAAATGGCAGCGAGAGATGACATTTAAAAAAATAACACCCTCTACACACCAAATGTGATGTAATTTGACAGCTGGTTAGAGTAAACAAGTTTAAAAAGTATATTTTTCAAACTCAAGGACACTGTCCAATCACAGTGGGTGGGCTGAACATGTGAAAAACATCTTGAAAAAGTGCTACAGAAGAGCTGGGAGCTGCTCAGGGGCAGTGTCGTCCTGCAAGAACACCAGCTGCTCACACAGATGGGTTCAGAGCACACTCACGAAAACAGTGGTAGATCCAGAACAAGTTAAACAGAGAAGGAGAATTAAAATTATTTGAAGTGAAGTTGTCATTTCTGAAATTAATACCTTTTAAGCCCCATCTGTTTATCGGCATTAAGCATGTGTACAGCTATCATTTTGCTGAAATGCATGACTTGTGTTCAACAAATGATCCAGTGTTTCTCTCCTCTTCTCTCCTCCAGTTCATTGTGACCATAATGAGGACCGGTGGATTCTGCTGGAAGGAGGATTATGTAAGAATTCACCTCTGAGGAAGTTGAAAGGCATCGCCCCAGGTCAGACGACTGGTGAGTGAAGCTGGGTTACTGCACTGCTGTAATGTTTCATACAGGTTGCCTCATTATTAGACTTATTATTAACCAGCAGCACGTTGACTTGGTTTTCAATGTTGTGAACAAAAGAGACAGAACAATAACCATCTACAGTCTCTTAGGATGTGTCTCCTGTAGGACCCTATAGTCATTTAAAGACACTTTATTTGATATTTAGCCTAAATTGAAGTGTGAACTATCGAAAGCAAACAGTTTAAGAGCTACAGTACAGGATATTACTTGCAAATGCATCATTGATTGTAGAGAGCAGCTACAAAATCCTCCTCAAATATAAAAATAACTCACAGCACAGATTCATTTCTTTTTTTTGTCGGAACCTCATTAAATTGTTAAATGGACTAGTATGTGTCAAATTTTAGTCACTCTTAAAGGTATTTGTAAGTTTTGCTATCGCTGTGTAGCCATCGTTAGCATTAACAACTGTTTAGTTACCAGTCTAGAAGAAATACAAGTTCAGCATCAAACTTCATTCCTTTACTCACCAACAGCTGTTTCCAGTGGTGGAAAGCAACATCAATATTAACTCTTGTCTCTATCACTTATTTTCTTCTACTGAAGTTATCATGCTAACCAGCTAGCACCGGCCCATATCATTCACATAGCGGCTCACTGTAGCTTCCAATCTGCCCTGAAGATGTATTGTGGCTCAGAGGGCGCATTATAACCTCTTGTATTATAAAGACGGTGGTGGCTGAAGCTCTTGTCAAGCAACAATCGCCACCACCCGCAAGAAACCACATTCAAGACACTGATATATGTGGTTATTCTACATTTAATGCGGAAAAAACGCGCATATATGTAAATTGTTTATACACAGAATGTAATTTGCTTTTCTTTTTTGGTGCAGTTGTGCTGTGCGCTCTGCAAGGCCTAATCCGTTCATCAGACTGTGGATTGTAGTACTTTTGGGAACTTTCACTGATAGAAAACATCTCTAAAATCTAATAAAAGGGAATACTTCAGAAATACATTTGGACTGCAATTTGAAGGTTGCCGTCTTTTCTTTCTCTTTAGCATTCAGATTCAGACTTATCTAGCAACAAGGATACAACTCTTTGCAGCTGAGAGAAACTTAAAACCAAAGCATCACATCCTCACCCAGTATCCTTCTTTGATTCTCAAACGTATAAGGTTGTGAACCGTGAGGTTTTGAAAGCAAACACTCACATTCCCACATCAAAAGATGCTCAAGGAACAGACAGAACTTCAGAAATGTCTGTCAAACACTTGAAAACAACCAACAGCTACATCAGACATATCTCAATGCATGATCTTTCTTTGTACCAACTTGAAAAATTCAGCACCCTTTCCATCCTTACCTGCACAGTGATGCCATCGAAGCAAGTTTGATCCCAGATCCTGATTTGGTCTCCACTGAGGTGCTGTCGATGGGTACATCTTACAAAAAGAAATTCTTTCTTTGCACGACTAATGATGAGCGTGTGCAATTTGGACGATTGAGCCTGTTCTGATCAAAGACAACAAGCTCATCTGTTTCTTTTTGAGCCCACACTCTTCCGCCTCCATGCTGCAGTGTGGCCTCCACAATATTGGGGAAGCAGACAGAGACAGACGGTTTGCATGCGTTCTGAACACTGCTTGGATTTTTTTATCCACTTCCTGCATACAGTCTGTGCGGAATGACAGTCCTGTCCCTGAAACACTTTTTTCAATGGCAGACAATTTGACGTGTCACATTATGAAAAGCACAGGAGGAACCAATAACAAGGGCTCGGTGTCCCAGGGAGCCTCAACACTATAGGCTATCATGCACAGTTCACAGAGCACGCCAAGAGGCAAAAGTAAGTGCTATGAATTTGTTATAAATATTTTCAGCCGTGCTTTTCTTTCTGTGACATGTCAAAATGTCTGCAAAAAAAGTATTTTGTTCATCCGCTAAAGTTTGGATAATTTTGTGTTTTTGGTTTCTATTTAAGAAAAACTATTTAGAAAATTATTTTTACTTTTATTTCTTGGTTTGCGGAGAGTTAATGTTGTTTTCACTTTAAGCTTGAAAGACATTTTTGAGAGTTCCTGTTTACACTGGGTGAACATTCTGGGAATCATAACCCTTTCATACCTTTACACAGCCCCCACTAAGATTTGAACAGTAGAGCAGGTTTTGTACTATAGCACTGACCTGACTGACAATAACTCAATGCTTTGTTACTGGTAGAAGAAAAGATTTAAAATAAAAACTTTCCACCTCTCAATCAACCAGACCTCCCTTCTTCTCTCTTCTTTACTTCCTGTTCACTAGAAGAGAAGCTCAACGGAGCGAAAGACAAACAGGAACACTCTGTACTCCTGCGGGACCGAGGATCAGGTCACTGTGTAAGTGTTTGTTTGTTTGTGTGTGTGTGTGTGTGTGTGTGTGTGTGTTTGTGTGTGAGTCATATGACATATGACAGTGTGCGATTCTCACTGTGCACGTGTGTGCTCTATGAAAGGTTGGTTGGTGTGTGTGCATGTGTGAGAACAGTACTTGTTCTGTGTCTCAGTGAGTCTTCAGCCGAGTGTATTTTGCTTTGTGTGAATATGAGACAACAGTGTGTGTGTGTGTGTGTGTGTGTGTGTGTGTGTGTGTGAGGGAGAGAAAGAGAGGTCAGTGTAAAGCTGACAGGTTGTGCACTGTGGCAAGGTCACACGGAGAATGCAGCTGGGAAAAGATGGATGGATGGATGGAGGAAAGAAGCTCAGGAGGCACTTGGAGGGGAAGTGTATGTATGACCTAGCCTATGGAGAGGAAGACTTTGAAAGACACACGGTCACAGCAGTCAGTAGTCGCCACAGAGGAGAGATGCCATGTTGTTTTACATCAGCTAAACCGCAGGCACGTAAACAACATTTTCCCATTTTCTTTCTGAACCTTTTTCTTGGTAATTTTCTGTTGAGTGATCACATCCTTCACCTCCCTTTCAAAAACCAACATCTAGCGTCATCAATAAAATAAAATTTGCTTATTTTTAAGCACAAACAGAAACATATACTTTAAAATTTTGCATTAGTTAGTAGCTGGACGCTGAAGGAGATACATTTATGTTCAGTGAAATGAAATAAAACACCTGTGGCAGAAACGTGGAAGATACAGTCTTCATTTTGATTAAGAGACGTTGTTTGCATCAAACCATTATCAGGATCTTGTTTTTTTAATTAGTTACAGTATATATGGTAATAAGCGAGTGTATTGGCTCATACATATAATTTGCTTCCAGCTGTCAGCAGTTAGAAATAAATACTTCCATACCTCTATTGTTAAATTATACCATATACCAACATTGGTGATACAGTACACATAAACCAGTGATTAATCTGAGATTGTTTAACTAAAGGTCAATGTGGCACAAAGCTATAAAAAAGAAAAACACATTCTTCCATTTACAATTGAAAAAGCTGAATTCATAACCTCAGATCCCGGTGTTTAACTGAGTCAATTCTTCCTCATGTGCTACTGTTATCTCACATTTTAACATTTACCATCATCCTGTGATCGTCACTTGTGGACACATAGAAAAATGAAACCCCTGGCCCAACGCCCATATACTTCCACATCTGGGAAGAGTCCAGCTGTTATCCTCCAGTATTGACTGACAGCCGGATGATTTTCTGTGTGTGTGCCAGAACTGGTCCAGATGTGGAAGTAGCATCTGACAGTCACGCTGTATAAGGGCCAGATTCAGGCCTTGGAACCGGCTCAAAGGAAAACAAGCATGTGGCCCAAGATTTATTTTTTGCTTTATTTTATTTTGATTTATTTTATATGGGATGAAGATTTTAGATTGGGTGGTACAGTAACAGTTTCTTTGCTGACCATCATCCAACTTAGCTGGTTAGTTGCTAGTACCTGTAAAAGTTGTGCTGGGTCATGCTGACACATGTGAAGACCTTGGCTGCCTTTGAGTGGGCGACAGGGAGGAGGACTTAGCAGGAGGTGAAGGATGGAGCGAGGGAAGAAAAGGAAACATATTGTCTCTGTCCTTGAATGTTCTTTATCATGTAAGATGGAGGGAGGGATGAAACAAGGGACAGTGAGGCGTGTGTGTGTGTGTGTGTGTGTGTGTGTGTGTACCCCCTTCCTCAGGCTTTATCCAGCACCTGAAGGGAGAAAAAGCCTTGTCAACATGATTTATTTTTACTCACATCAATAACAGGTGAAGCTGCCTTGTGTCCTGTGCATGTGTTTTCTCTCTACATGTAAACACGGTTTACAGTATGAAAGTTGGCGTGACACCACTGATTATGTGTTGATAGTTTGTATTTCAGTGACGGTTTGCCCCAGTTTTTATAGTTCAACGCCATTAACAAGCCTTCATAGAGTAAATATTTGTACTGCTCACACTGTGACAGGTAATTTTCATCTACATAATTCAATACTGTACAAATTTGGCTGACATTGCACTTTGCAGCGATTCTTGCCCTTTTAATCAGAGGCAGGATACATGACTGTTAATACCCACAAGACGGTGACCTTTTGTTTACACAGCGCTCGCTCTCGCCGCTCAGCTGTCCCGCCTCCTGCAAATATGAGCAAAGCTGCCGACGTGAACGGCTTTTTAATCGACTCACATGTTATCAGTGCCCTGCAGAAACAGTGGTGTTTGTTTCTGACATTATAGCAGCGAGTGTCAAAACATTGAATGGTTCTGTGTGTGAGCGGGACTACTGGTAAACGATGTAATGTCAAATCAGAGTGAAGCTGTGTCCCACTTGTAGACGATACTGATGGTAATCTCATGTTTGTGCAATTAGTATTGTAGTGCAAATGATCAGAGCAGTTACAGGTGAGGCTATAGCTATATGAGGAATATTCAAATAGAAGAATCTGAGTTACTGTAAAGAATAAAAAAAACAAAACAAAGAAGAAGAACCTACTCATTAAAAATAAAGGTTCCAGTGTGGAGTGTGGCTTTAGAAAAAAAAAGTACCATCGAGCTTATAAAACTAATATTGTCCCA